CGTCAGTTCTAAAGTCACCACCGTCAGTTCTAAAGTCACCACCGTCAGTTCTAAAGTCACCACCGTCAGTTCTAAAGTCACCACCGTCAGAGGGCTTTTTATTCGTTTTAAATGAATATGCTTGCAATATGTTTCTTCAGTGCTGTTCTCTCATTAAAGTAATAGTCTCTTTTAATACAAAAATATGTTTGTTAAATAAAAAAACATGACTTTTTCTATTTAGGCTTAAAGTAAACGTTATCTGATGTTAGATCTTTTAGAGGACTACAAGTGAAACAGTTAAAAAAAATTAACAAAAATGAATATTCAACATTTAACAGCATAAATGTGTGCTAACAATGCCAGATAAAGATTTAAAAACTCTAAATACTTATTAGACCAAATAAATAAAAAATAATTAGCTTTTTATTGTGTTGGATGGTGTTGACAAAAACAAAGTAATAACTGGAAAAATGCCTATTTTATGAAAGAAATACAAAATGAGGAGGTTGCACCTGTACTCTGCTGAACAGCCAAGACCTTGGTCTATAACAATATACCTTCAGATTTTGTAATCCAACTAACTTTTTATTTTCAAAATTAAAACCTGTTTTATCCAAATTCCCAAGAATCAGTGATATATATATATATATAATAATTTTTCACGTTACAATTATTGTTGTTTTATTTATATTTTGCCATGGCGGTGTTACTTTATGTCATGTTTCATGGGTCAGTGGTGGCTCGGGAGGTCAGGGTGTGTCCGTAACAGGTAAGTTGGTTGTGTGAGCCCCTGTTCTCCTGTCCTTGGACAAGACATTTAACTTGTCTTGGCAGCTGACAGGAGCAAACAGGGACCAGTGTCGCTATGGAACGTGTTCTGGCCTCTGTACTCTGGACATAATGCTACGATTATACCCTTATGACAAAATATGATTGCACAGAAACCCTGATTGGTCCCAATTTCATCAGAGCATATTGGCTATGCTCTGATGAATGAACAAATGTCCAGAAAAAAATAATTCAAAATTCCTTCTGAATTCTCTGGATTAAAACATCTATCTCCTTGTTATAAATAATAATAATAAAAAAAAAATCCAACAATTAAGATGGTACACAGAAGATAAACACACAACTGGTGATGCTTTTTTTCATCATTACTCTTTTCCCCTCGCCAAGGCTGAAGAAAAACCAAGAAAAAGTACAAAAAGTTTATACGTTGGGCTGCAAAAAAGATTATGACTCAGCAATTTCAATCTTAACCACATACTAAGATGTCAAAGATTTGAGAATATTTCACTGGCAAAAAAGTTCATAGTTGAAAGCATCACATTGAGTGTTTGGAAATCCTTGTGAGTGTGTGGCTGTTCTCAAACAAACTGTGCTGTTTCGTGATAAGGCAGCTCCTTTAGGCCATGGACCCTGATAAACTCTTTAGGCATAACAATTCTTATCTTCTGAAGGCCAGTTTGTGTCCCTCAGTGAAAAGATGCTCCTGAAGGTCTCCATAGTGGCATTAAAAATAAGAGACTGCATTTAAACCCCATTTCACAGGGAATACCTTTAAGTTTAAGCTCAGTTGATTAAACTTTTGATCATTCAGAGAACTGACATTTTAATCTCTCTAAATTCAAATGCAAGTGATAAAAATAAAAAATAAAACAAATTTCTATTTTTTTTAAAAGTGCAAATGATGGCTTCAGAATGAGGGACTCCATTTGGATAAAAAAAACATATTACTAACAAGAGCAGAGTAAATCAATTCATCAGTCATTTGGCAAAAACACAAAAATTACAGTGAACATAAAAAGATCAAACTTCATGAAAACGACTGCTTTTAAAAATGTTTCAATAATAATTTATACAGTTGTGATGTCACAATTTGAGGTTTGCAGCATGACAATCTCGGGAGGTAAAGTTTTTCCTCTTTTGCTCATAAACAGTTACTGGTAACAGAGAGCCTGCAGCTTTCATGACTGATGCATGTTATTAATAGATCAACCCGACCAATATTTTAAAAAGGCTTCCATGTGTTCTATATAAGCAATGAATCAAGATCAGTGTGGGAAACCAAAATGAAGTACGGTATAAGAAAAATAAAAAATCTTTTAAACATCTTATATTATAAAAGCACATTTATAATTGAAACGTGATGGAAATGGTTCATGCACTTGCACCATAACAAACTACTATCCTTTTATTTGATATAATAATGCAAAACAATAAGCTAATTCAAAGTGGAAGAGAGATAACATGGTTTTAAAAAGTTTTTCAAAAAGCTGAAAGGTGTGACAATGCCTCCAAACAATTTATACGTAACCAGTACATGAGCTTATATTACAGATGTTGAAGTGTTTAAAAAAAACAAAAACGTATCCGTGTTTGTGTTTTATTCTTCATTGGTTTTTAAAGATGCACATAAAAATAATACATGACTGAGAAAGACTTCAGTATTTGCTATTAGATTAACATTCCATTGCTAAATCAAATGACTCACTAAGCTACAGTATGTACAGAAATGATGGTTACTGAATTTCTGAGGTAACATGTTTTAGCTTTTTTAACAAAGAACTTAATGTTTATATTGCAGTACTTTTAGAAAAGAGCACATGCACCTGAAATGTCCTAAATTCTGTCACTGACTGACATGCAGAGGTTTCAGAGTTAATATTATAGGTTTATCTGGCAAGAGAATCAACTCAAACGTACTCTGCACTTCCACATTGCGCTGCTTCTCAATTCGGAAGTTTTCCAGCATCTGCAAGTGAGAAAGAAAATACAAAGCACCTCGTTAAACCTGTGTTGCACAATGTATCAAATCAAATTTTGGTGTTATTTTTTTTTTTTTTGCTTTATGCCTCACATGGATGAGGAAGATCTGCATCTCTGTCTCAGCTATCCTGCGTCCCAGACACTGACGAGGGCCGAAACCAAATCCCAGGCTTTTAAAGTACTGCGTCTCCGTCCTCAGCCAGCGGGACGGCTGGTACTGCTCCGGACGGAAGAAAACCTTGGGGTCTCGGCCCATTGCATAAAGTCCTAACTGGACCAAAGTCTAAACACAACAACTCATTAATAAAACTGAACTGGTGCAATGAAAATTCTGAGATACTATGAGGGTATAAGAGCCTCTTACCCCAGCTGGGATGTGGTAGTTTTGAATAATAATGTCTTCAGCGATATATCTTTGCAAGCTCACTGCAACTGGATGCAACCTGAAAATGTATTGTAAAATCCTTGTTGACAGAGGATCATTATTTTTTTTGTTGAATCAAAAATAAAGGTTGAAACATTTCAGTGTTTTGGTTCTATGGTTAAAAATGAAGTCATTTTATGTTAAATGCTGATACAGTAAAACAAAAGAAAAGCTTCCCATTTTTGAAGCAGCATTTGTTTTGCAAAAGGGTTAAAATAAAGTGGAAAACCTTGACTTTTTTGTAATTTTACCTCAGTGTTTCTTTAAGAGCACCTTTGACCAAAGGAATCCTCTTCAGCATGTCCAACATGTCCCCCTGGCTCTCAGCCCGAGCTGCAGCAACCTCTGCCCTCAGCTCCTCCTGGAGGTTCGGGTGTCTGGCTAATTCATACAGCGTCCACAGGAGCGTTATAGAAGTCTGGAAAACAATACAAAAATTCTTCAATTGTAAGACAAAGAGAACCAGAAAGACATTCTCTGACTTATTTTTTCTTCTTACAGTGTCTACTCCTCCGGCCATTAGCTCTGTCACACTGGCCTTAATGTCTTCAATGGACAGTTTGTCCAACAGGAGCAGGCTGGCTAAGACTCCTGGGTATTCCTTGGATTCTCCTGTTTCCTGACGCAGCTGCCTGTAGATGTTCTGGATGCAGCGATCAGCTGATGTGTCAAAATTATATAAATATATGAGAATGGTTACAAAAAAAAGCTTCAAATGAAATTTCTTTGAAAATGATAATATGTCACCTTGGTTAAATATCCCATCCCAGGCCTCCACATGGTCACGCCACACCTTTGCTCCGATGTTCCTCAGCAGAGCAGGAGGTATGTACAGCATGGGAGAAGTGGTCTTGAACATGAGTGTGATGCAGTCTATAAAGCGCTGAGCTTCGGGGTCGATGTAATCCAGCATCAGGCCCAGACGCTCTCCGTACAGAACAGAGCTCACCGCTATGAAAGACGGGATAGTAAGCATGAAATGAAAACATTCTAATGGAAAACAATCACCAAATTTAGAAGTCTTACACTCCAGAGCGTATTTAAAAAGTTCCTGAGACAGGTCGGTGGTCCATTTGTTCTGCCCGCTTCGATGGATTTTTTTGTGAACTCTTGCTACAAAATCCTGTCCCACCTCATCCAGCAGTGGGACAAAGTTTTCCAGCATCTTCAGGGAAATCACCTCCTTGTTAAGAATAACACGGTTGGATCTCCAGTCTTCTCCATTCCTATCAAATTAAGGTGTTGAATTGAGTTCAGACCATTTTGAAAAACAACAAATGACCTTTCTAGTATAGGAGTAGGGGTACCTACTTTAGGAGAACCCCATATTTGCGGTTCCTATAGTCTCTGTATGACGTCCAAGCTTCCACCTTCAGCCGTTTAGGATAATGTCCCTCAGCTTTGAAGAGAATGGCAGCATCCTCTGGTTTGATGATATTAACACTTTCATAATAGCCTATTTTCTCTCTGTAACAGAAAAAAAACAAGAAAATACAGCAATGAAAATGCAACAGGTCCTTGGTTTTAAATTAGCAAAATCTGAAACACTTTTAATCTTCAGTACCTCTGATGATATTGTTTTCCCCTTAATGAAAAGACTGTAATATGGTTGTCATAGTTCACCTGTAAATGGGTCCGTATGTGTTGAAGTTTTGCAGCATGATGCGGTGAAGGTTTTTAAAGCCATCCAGTTTCCAGAAGTTGTACAGGTTGACCACCCCGTTCTTCCAGAGCCCAGGAATCTCATTGAAAGGCCGGACGATACAGCTGCTCTCCGGATAAGCCTGCCGGATCACAGGCATGCTGCTGCTGCAGCGCATGCCGGAGGCAAACTGCTCTTCCATGCAGAACAGGGGCAGCGTCACAGGGCTCCGACACATACTCAACCGGGCCATCGCAGCAACAAAAAAAAAAACTCCCACTTGGTTTACTCTCAACAGCTACTTTGGCTCTTTTCCTGCTCCCTCTCAAAAGAAGGCTGCAGGAGGCTGGTCTACAAAGTCAGCCCCCTTTTTGTACTGATCAAGGCTCTCCTGCACTAAATAACAGACTGCAAAGAATGACACTGAGCAGCTGCATCAAAATATTTTATCTGTACTTGTTCAACTTAAATTGGAATTCTATAATACGTTGGCTTACATTGGAAAATCAATCACTTATCCATTTTGAAGAAATAAAATAAATTCAAAAACACTATTCTTGTTTTTGATTATTTTAATCACAACACACATTTAAAAGCATAACTTAACCAAAATTGAGAGCTAATTTTTAAGTTGCTTAATGATTTCTTCCAGCTTCATGGCCGTCCTGATGTCTCCCTGCACCTTGAGCCTGCCGCTGGCGTACGCGGCGTATGGCTGCAGCCTCCCCTGGAACATGTCCACGAGGTCGCAGTCGTTCATGCTCATAGTCACATCGGGCTGTCGACACAAGGACCCTGATCCAGCTGCCCCGCTACCTGCAACACGCACAGAAACACACTCGCTAGAGTAGAGCCTTTACTTAGAAACACAATGAACTCAAACTTGACTGAATTGTATTTAAACCAGGATCTAATTAGAAAGAACTTAAGTTAAATCTATCTATTCAGCTGGGTACATATATATGTGTATAAACTGGGAGTGTTTTTCTCTTGAAGAAGTGCCTTTAGATAGTATTTTCTTTGTTAATAAGCTCTATATAATTGTACCACATTAAACTAAGTCACGTAACTAACAGCCTTGGATTTCATTGTGTCACTTTTATTCTCTTGTGTTGCCTTTATGCCCCTGCAATTTACATTTTTTCTTGTGTTCCTCTTTAGAACTTTGAATTTTCTTGTCACTGAAATGCACTATATAAAAACCTTTCCCTTATCTAGATTAGTATCTGCACATACATTTTTTTCGTCATGAAGTAATGTGGGATATATTTGGTCTCCTTGCACACAAACACTTTATCAACAGCTTTCATTCTGCATTCTGAGAACCAGATATCTGGGGTAAAACATGACAAATAGCTCAAAAACAGCCTTAAATCAGAGGCCACTGGACTTCCTTTTTAGTTTTTTCTGAAAATGTTTCAACGCCCAACCAAGCACATTGATAAATTCCATCGGCTTGCACTAGGATGTCCTGTAGTTGGAGCTTTGACGGCCCAAATCTGAAATGCATTCTTGTAGTCAGAACATAGTGTAGCAACACTAACTGGGTTTCATAATTATTAATAACAATAATAATTGAAATTGCACACTCGCCAATTAGTTCTAAGATGTAACCACCGTTCCTCACCGTGACTTAAATCCAGGTAGTACTGCTGTTGCTGTCCATCTGCAGTGCTGATCTCAAACTGGAAACAAGCTCCGACCTGTTGGACCAAAGTTTCAGAGAGGAGCGTTTGGACCCCAGTGAGCAACTCCTCAACAGAACCTGCTGTGGCCATGGCAGCCTCTGGTTTAACGCTGAGCTCATTTGTGAGAGTTACTCTGTCTTCTGCAAAAGAAGGAGCTTGCCATTATTTCATCTACAATGATTCTTGTTACATATGCAACACAGAAAATGTTAATGTTTCATCTTACGTTGTTGTGGCTGTGAGTTACCACTGTGGCTAAGAAAGTGCATGGCCAGCTGCTGAAGGGGGCCAGTGAGGCCTTCAAGTCCGGGTGCAGAAGGTGCGGGAGAAGGTGGGGAGAGGTGTGCAGTCTGGCCTTCCTCTGGGGCTTTCAGTAGAGAACCGAAGGTTAGCTCTACCCTATCCACCTCCAGCCCCCAGGGATGAGTCAGCTCATTTATGTCCATCTATTTAAAAGAGAGAAACATTTTAGAGCAGATTCAGCTGATCCCATGAGGATCAAATTCAAGACTAAATAAATAGAACATGTCATACTTCCACACAAAGCTCGCTAATATAGCTTTATCAATTTGCATTGTTTGTTAAAACTATATCTGCCTCCTTAAAAATTTTAACAGTTTTTACTTTTTTTTTTTTTTCCACCCAGGTTTTTTTTTAAAAAATGAGTCATCCGTTTTCTTTCCAATCATAAATTAATAGATTAGTCAATTTAAATGAAGAGCTGGCCTGATTACTGTTTGATCAGCAGAAGAAGGTAATTAGTTAAATAGAAATGCTTGTGCAACATCAAGGAGGTTAAATTTTTCTCCAAAATACATGCTGGGATTTAAAGAAATACATCAGAAAACAAGAAAAGCACACACTGGTCTTTTTTAGGGTCTGATGTTATTGAAACCAAAATAATAATATTTGGTGTCTTCTGCTTTTCTGTGTATATTATCAACTTATTAATCTATAAAATGTTACAATAAAAAGGTAATACACCAGAAGAGCATTAAAAAAAACAGCACCAGTTTGAACTTACCCCAAGATATTCCTCTAGTTTTAGTCTCTCAGTCTGAATTTCTCTGGCAGTCTTTTTGGAAAGACTGTGAGTCAAAAGATTCTGCGCAGTCATCCTGGTGGAGGCATTCAGGTCCTGGACCGACACCACTGACATAACTGGGTTCCAGATCCTGAACTGGATGTCTGCTCCGACCAACAGTATGCTACCGTCCCGAGTAACCACCTATGGGGGCAAAGTAACATCGTATATCTGTAAGTGGCAGCTGAATTTATTTGAGGTCGACATAAATAGGCTGTGGTAGCTGAACCTTTTTTCTCTAATCATACTCTGTTAAAATTTTACACTAAAAAAGCAAAATGATCTGCAGGAACAGTTTTATTCTTATCCTTATGATGAGACAGAGTTATAAATCATCTAAGCTGTGTGTAAAGTGTTGGGACCTGCTTTCTTGGATGATTTTAAATTAAAAATTATGTCTTTTACTGAATACTTTTTGTAATCGACTTAACACCGATATCTCATATGCTTGAATGTTTTTTTTCCTAGATAGAACCACATGTGACACTAGTTTACAGTTACCTTCTCTAACATAAAAACTATTTATAGATCAGTGCTTCTATGTTGCTTCTATATTTAAATTCTTTGTACTGAATGCTATTTGAATGCTTTTGAATTGAATTTTGTATCTGCTCCCCAAGGGGATGGGTTCAATGCAGAGTTAAATTTCTCCAATGTGAGATCAATAAAGTTCAATTATTCAATTATTTTTATTTCTAACACCAGTCAGCCTCGGCAGATGGGATTGAGCCTGGTTCTGCTGGAGGTTTCTACTTATTAAAAGGTTGTTTTTCCTCTCCACTGTTGCTACATGCATGCTTAGTGTGAGGGATTGCTGTAGAGTCAACAAAAAATGCAAGCGAATAACAACCTCATCCATGAGGGATGCGTCCTGCAAGTCAAGGACTCGATGTAGTTAGTTTTTTACCAATCTGACAGAATGATCTGGTTGAATTGTCTGTGTAGTGTTTTAAGGTTTCATATGTTGTGAATTATAACAAAATAAATACAGTGAATTGAATTCAATCCAATGCATCTGTGATGACTTTCTGATTAGTTGCACCTGGCATGGAGGGATGTTAAAGGCCCGAGTTCTCAGGTCCACTCTCTGCCACTGATCAACGAGGGGAAGCACCAGCACTATCCCGGGGCCTTTTGGAGGACAAACCCGACCCAGACGAAACACAACTATCCTCTGGTAGTTCGGAACAGTCTGTAAAAAGTATTAAACAGATTTAACTGATATCAAGTGGGTTGAGATGTTGGTGATCAGTGTTAAAGGGAAACCCTACCTTTAGAACAAACCAACCTGTTACTGGGAAGGTTATGAAGGTAAATATGTAAACAAGGAAAATCACAATCAGGTTGCAGAGCCAAGACAGCCATCCCTGAGAGGCATCTAAAACACAAACATCATCAGAAACTCTCTACACTGTAATAACAATTGAATAATGCACCTTCACTATTATCATACTCTAAATATATATATATATATATATATATATATATATATATATATATACACATATGGCGGCTAATATTAGCTGATAACTAACCAGTAAAGTTGTTTGCAGATATATTTGGGATATAATCAAACGAAAGTCCTTTGTGGAAGCTTGGCTGTGAAAAGCTGTGAGAGTCACCAAACAAACCAGGGGTCTTCTGGGAACCTGAGTCCCTCTGAGAAAGCGGCTGATACGACCTACCGAACATCCTTCCGGTTTATACAGCTTAATTTACCTTTAAAGCGGCATATAATACCAGATGTTTTAGCTGCTTAGCAGCTAATTGTTTGGGGAGGATCAGCAGGCTTTAGTAGAATTAGCTTAGCACTTTAAAATGGCTAACTTCATATCAGCTTCTCTTCCTGGAGTTAACGGTGGTACTGATCGGGATACGCTGCTCGCCACCGCCCCCTACTGTTCATGTTGATGAATTGAACTTTTTCCATCCAGGAAAACTGGATTATTTGTTTGCTGCACCAATTGATTCAGTAGCATTTTTAAGTTTTTCAGTTTAGTTCCAGAAAAATAATTTAATAATTGAATTTAGTTTCAAAGAAAAATCATCTTAAGACCAATAAAATACCCTGATTACATTAAAGACACTTGTTTTCTTGAATTACATTTATTTATCCCAGAAGTTGCTTCTTTTTTGTGACTGCTGGTAAAGTATTTTTCATCCCTTTTGACCTTTTCTACATTTCTTCTTGTGAAACAGATGTGAGAAACTAATGTAAGATAACGCATACATATGGGTGGAAGGAAAATTATTCACATTTGATCTTCAAATAGAAATTAAAAAACATTTAGCCCAGGTATGTTCTAAATCGATCCTCAAGGGCTGCTGTCCAGCAGGTTTTAGAGGTGTATCTGCTTCAGCACTGCTGATCTGCATTGGTAGCTGATTAAAAGGCTTATGTTAAACTGTAATCATCAGAATCCGCTGAGCATTTTGCTGCAACTCTAGTGTGTCTGTCTTCCACTGTTGTATATTTACAAATAAAATAGTCTTTTAATTCCTTTTTGTGAACATATTCGGCCTGGATTAAGAAAATTTGTGAGCCTCAGATTTTTAGTATGACCTAATCTACTAGGGCTGTAGCTGTGGGCTATATTCAGGGCTGTTGTTGTGCTTAATGTTAATCCTCCAATCTGGTCTCAAAACATTGCAGCGAATACCAACTTTTCCCCCATTATTAGCCTGTATTAGCTCAATCCATCATCTCCCCCATTCCTGCTGAGAAATTAATACCACCATACCATCATTTTACACCAGTGACATGGTGTATTCAAGGGGATGTGTAGTTTTAACTTTCCTTCACCCACAGACTTTTGAGCATTAGCTGGAAATCTCAACTTATACAAATATTTCCTTCTTCTACATGTTTTCTTTCTTTTGGCTTGTGTCACACTAAAAACAAAATGTATTTTAGCTTCATTTAAGTGTTATTCCTCTATCCAGACTGTAATAAAAGCCCATATTTTTGGAGTACATAAGTTATTTACACTGTTCAAATGCAAACATTCAGGGCTTAGACTAAAATGTGAAATCATCTGCGATGGATAGAGGATTTGTCCACCAAAGTGGTCTAAGAAATAAAATTTATCAAAATTACCAGCACTATATTTGGAAATATATGGGCCCTTATACACAAAAAAACCACAGTAGATTGCAAGTTTATTACATATCAAGTTTTTTACACCTTGTCCATTTGAAAAATGACCAATTGTACAGATTTTTATTTTCTTCGTCATTGAACTACACAAACAAATTGAACCCAAAGAGCTTTTTATAGTTGCTTTATATCAAAAAGGAAGTTATAGGTGGACTATGACATCATGTTTTCAAATTGTTCTATATTGGCCAAATTTGTAAGGACTTAAAAAATTAGCTAGCTTAATGTTGTTTCATTAAAAGCAAAACAAAAAGATCCTTTAGGCCTCAGACCCTCCCCTATAGTCTTATGTTTTGATCGAGGTTGCCCTTTTTGTAAAATTGCAAGGTTATAATTCCTTTGTGTTCAATAAAACACAAAAAAACTCTCCTTATGTTTGGAGAATTAAGGGAAATAAACACCACATTTTACATTTTATTGAAGGAAAAGTTATTCACAAATACATGCTATGAAAAAAAGACATTCTTTTGCCACGGAAAGCTTGAGTTAGTCTGAAGTATCCTGAAGTTAAACTGATAGTAGAGTATAAAGTGGTATTTATGTGCATGATGGAACAAATCAGGATATTTACAAAACATTTTAAAATTTTACTGTCACAAAAATAAACAAGAGCCTTTCTGAAAGATTCCTGAAATAAGTTACTAAAAGAGCTAGATACTCATGTTGAAAATTATCTAGATGACATAAAATTTTACTGCTAAGACATATCAGAAGGATTCCACAGGAACGTGAATAAAATGAGGGTTACAGAATCTTCTGTTGATGCTTGTTCAGTTTTTGAACATATCACACAGCAGCTTCTCCATGGGTGTGTTGCCTATTGTGCTGTGGAAGAACAGCCGCTCGATTTTACTTGGACTCACAAAACGGAGAGACGGCAGCAGAAGTAAGAGCCTCCCAAACCTTGTAGAGCAAGAAAAAAGATGGGTTATTCAATCATTTATCTTTGAAAAAAAAATATATGTTAATATATATAACTTTTTAAAATATAAAAAAGCAGCTGTGGCACCTTGCAGCCTGACTGGGATACACCGACTGAATGTGCTGACCCAATAACAAGTGAGACTGGTCCTGTAGATCTTCAACCTGTCCAGAGTCTTTGAGGCTGCGTGTCTCTATGGCATAGAGACAAAAAGGAAACATCAGTTAAATAATCGTGCAACTGTAATACAAGGTGCATTGGTTTATATTATTTTTTTGGTTTCTTTTTTTTTGTACCTGGCTTGAACAAAACTATTGCTTTCAGACATGCAAATTCAGTAGGATCGACAACCAAAGTCTTGAAACGATTGAATACATCTTCAAGAATCTGCAGCTCAGAAGAAGCAATTTTGGTCTTTGCTTCATGAGAGGGAGAAAGTTCTGGAGACATAATTAAACATCTGTCCATTGGAAGTGACATCTGGATGGCACACAGAAGGAACATCTCACTCCAAGCTTCCTCCAGAAGAATAACCTTGAGATGTTAAAAATATACCTATTAGAATAGGACATTACTTTGCAAAAACCTACAGTTTATTTGTCAGCCTCACCTGGTCTCGAAATGGCAATTGAGCAAACACTGCCAAATTCTTTGCCCACTTTACAGACATGAAAAGGAGTCGAGCTGATGTCTCATAGAAGCTCTCTGAAGGGCTGGAGGTGTATGTGAGCCTACTGCAGTCTGATGAAGAGCTGTCATTCTCTGCATCGTTTGTCGTTACATCAATATTTTCCTCATCTATGCATTGTAAAGAAAAATCAATGAAAAATTTATCTGCTAATTGCTAAGATTGGGACACTTAAAAATCCCTCTCATAAGTAAGAACTTACCATCCTCTGGATCTAGCTTGGTACAAGTCTCTGCAGTCAGTAGACTCACCATAAAGCGGTGGGTATTTTGGTTGCTGTGGGGCCGTATAGATGCAGAACCGGTTGCAGACAATGTTACTGGAAGCCTAAACCTAACAGATGAGTAGCAGTCAGAAGTGATGAGCCCCTGTGTGGTAGCTAGATCTTCTTTCTTTGCCTCCATATTTATGGAGTCAAAACTAATATGTGCTGTGCTTCGAGGCTGACGCTCATTCTGCACCGCTGCCAATGGAAAAATGCAAAATATATTGCTTTAACAGAAGTTAAAAAAAAAAAAAGTACCATCAACTAAATCAAGTTATTCACACCATCTTTGTTCATTCCAGCTTGGAGACACTTTTTTAGTCGACAAGCCTGGCACTGGTTCCGGTGAGCTTTGTCAACGGGACATCTGCCTGTCCCAGCCTGACACCTGTGATGTTAAACACACACACACAAAAAAACTCACTTTCAAACTGGCTGGTTTAAAGCAGATTTTATACTGGGTGTATTTGAACTTATTTAGGAGGAATTCTGAAATGTATTCCAGGTTCCCTCGCCTACCTGTAGATGAGTCTTCGTCGAACGCTACGTTTGAAGAAGCCGCTGCAGCCATTGCAAGCATAAATGCCATAGTGTTTGCCACTGCTTGAATCAGAGCACACTTTGCAAAGCAAGACCTGACCAAAAGCTTTTAGAGGACTTTTATCTGTGCAGAATAAAAGACAAAAAGGAAGAGACTTTAAACAAATGCTCAAACTACCAAAACTTTACATTTTATAACATCTTCTTAAAAATAGTTATGAACTGCTGTGGCAACCACTAATTACAACAATGGGCAATTATATAATAGCTGATATCATGTGCTAATAATCCAGCATCTAAATTGATAAAGCAGATTGCCTAATAGAATAGAGCCAACAACCAAATAACATTTTTGCAGAGTCTAATAAGTTATTTTGTTATTTGTACCACATCATAAAATCCTTTGCAACAGATTCTTATACATTAGATACATTTTAAGTTAATCTTTAATGAAGGAAAGCAAGTGTTGTATAGTATCCATCCTTAAGGGATAAGTATGAGCATCAGGTCAATTAAAATACCTGTTTTGGACAAGCACATACGATACAATTATTTTATATATATTTTATTTCCAAGAAAGGCTCTCATTTTTTTTGCATAATACAATTATTTCTGAATTTTCTTTTTTTATTCAAACTCAATAAGCATTATTGTTATTTTTGACTTAACAACCTTAATGCATTATGGCAAGCTACTGTTTTATTGACATTATCAAATTAATATTGAAAAATCAAATTTTCTGAAATTAAACCAGCCAATCCCTTTATTTTTAGGTCAGTAAGGATGACTAAAAATATATCTACCTATAAACTAAATATTAGAATAATGAGAGCTCATAGAAACACTAGTATTAAATTATTCATACAACAGTTTATATTATAACATCAATTTGGCTTTAAACAATTTGGGAAGGCCAGACGATGTCCTGTTTATGCAAGCTTATAAAAAATCCCTTTGTTGTGCCACAATAGAGAAATTCTGGTGTTTACAGCAGCATAAGATTATAGAAAAAAAATGGTCATACTAATGTGTTTCAGAAAAGTGTATAAGAATAACATAAAAGTGTATTAGAAGAACATAATGGTGAAGAGTTAAAAATAAATAAAATACAAAGAAAAGCAGAAGAAATGTGTGTAAGCAGAGCGACCTATACTCCTCATTCAGTAATACCAGTTCTGCTGTGAGGAATGGGGCAAATTTTGTGAGGATAACCCAAAAAATTGACCCCAGTTCTTCAGTTTAAAAACGGTGTTTTTAAACTGTCTTTTTTTTAAACTGTCTTTTTTCCATACAGTTTCACCAACTGTATGGAAACTTAAAATTTTTAAGTATATTTTAAATTTTTTTCTCAACATTATGCATTTTGCATCTTAATTTGATTGCATTTTATGAAGCAGAATTAAAATTATGATTTCACAAACAAAACAAAGCTTACTTACCTTCTTGAATTACATCTAGTTTTTGTTGCGTCACGTTGCTGGAGCCAGTTGGTGAAAAATAGTCCATTTTAATCGCCTGGTCTTCCATTAATATTAAAACTAAATGTTTTCCAGGAAGAATACGCAAATAAAAAAAAAATGTATTTACAAAAGGCCTGAATATGTTATATAGCAAAACTGCATCCAATAAATACAGCTTCACGTGTCTGATGTAATGTATGGTCAATGAATTATCTGCCAGAGTGAGTGTGAGAGCTTGAGTAGTCGGATGGCTTTCATGAGGAAGACAAGAGGATTAACACCAGTTGCTGTGTAAGCAAATAGCAATGCTTTATCCTCTTAATCTTTACTGTGCTAAAGATTGGTGTAGCCTTCACAAGGTATTCAATAGTGGTGACCCCACATCAGTTGGTAGTACAACAAGTTACTGAAGAAACACTGAAAAATCTTCTCTTGAGGCACAGCTTACTATCTTTTCTTTGGAAAACAAGACATGTTTCTAATATTGAACATAGATGGAAAATCTTATATTTCCAAAGCTTAGTTGTCAAAAGTTGGTCAAGGCAGGATCTAACTATTAATTGTTAGTGAATAGAGAAATGCTGTGTAATAAAACAAAGATTTTAACAATAAACTGAAAGACAGACAAAAAATAAGAGCTTAATAACATTATAAACATGGCTTAACTAACACTGATGTAAAAACATGACATAGGCATTTTTTAGCTACTAATAGGTTCTCTTCCAGGTTTTCCCTGTGTTTAGTTCCCTCCATCATCCATAAAACAATGACTTTTCCTATCCTTGCTAAAGACAATCATCCAAACAACATGATGCTGCATCCACTGTGCTCCATCCTGAGGATGAATTATTCAGTGTTATGAAGAGTGTTAGCTTTCTGCCACATGGGTTTTGCATGTTGGGCAAAATGTTCACATTTGGTCTCATCCGACCTGAGCAGAAGTGTCTTCAGCTTACATGAAATATGTATTAGTTACATAAAAACTAATGTTAGACTACTCCTAATATTTCATTATACAGTAAATATTAAAGACTCTTGTTAATAAAAAGATTTATACAACCAAAGAGTATATCAGACGTATTATTCTGCAATTAAATTAAGAACTTATAAACTAAAGTGTCAGGATTGCCATTTATGACAAATCGGTGTATGTGGGTGTGTGTTTCAGAATAACAGCGTGGTTGTAACCATGCAGCTTTGCAAATTCCTATTTATTATGAGGGTGGTTAGTTAAAAAAAATCCTCTCTATGCACAGTCAGTGTCTGGGTAGGTACATCTGAATAGTGCAAAGCTATAAGAAGACTTAACCAAAAGCAAAAGTGTGTCAGTGGTCTCCATGATAAGTGCTGACCAATTAGGAACAGCACTAAGAAAGGAGGTAGGAAGAGAAAGTAGTATGCTTCTTTTTGATTATTTACCATAAGGATCTCCAGATGTTCCAATCTGCCACATAGGATACATATATGGTTTCCCACAATCCTTTGCATGACAGGGTGTATGTGCAAAGTCCACTTCATTGATTTTTAACAACAACAAAAAATAATTCAGAAAATAGTTCATTTTAGTTTCAGGTTAAGAGATGTTTCCTTCACATAATTTTTTTCCCATAAAACATGGTAAACTTTATCATAATACTGCAGCTCTGAATATACAGTACCGGTAATATAATCTCTAGCCTGTACTTCCCTCATTTTCTAACCAATCCAGCTGCTGTTAGAACAAAGATGCTGCAACCATCAGCAAAGATCTGCTTTGAGGTTTAACTGCCAAGGATAGCTGTCACGTTCCTACACACCTGAGCCTTGTGACTCTTATCTAGATACGTGTCAATCATCTTTAGCAGCGTGCCGCCACGAGCCAAGCGATTATGTATTTAGTGGAAACTTTTATCACAACAAATTACTGCAGGTGATTCAACACACGTCACTGGAAAAGAATAAATTGCTCAATCACTTGTTCATCGTTTGTTACTCCCTGTATTAAAATGCAAACAATTCTTTATATGGTTTTAAACAGTTAAGGCTTCATAAACATTAGAAACCTAAAGCAAAACCCTTCATATTAGTATAGCATAGCAGAAATGATATGCAAGACATAATTGTATCGTCCTTCAGAAGGAATCCTTGAATGGTAGTTTGCATCAATAAGAAGCTTTTCAATATAATCCCTTTTCAGCTTTTGCTAAAGAGTGATCCTTACTTTTCACCTTTCTCTTTATAAACACAGTGCAGATGTATTTCAGGCTGCATAGGTATGATACACATTTTTCACTGAATATTATGTGAAACTTTAGAAAATTTAAAAATCCAAGGTAATTGTTTTTCTGTACGAAATAAGATGATAAATTCTGATTTCCACCCAAACATCATCAACAAATCTCATCTCTTCTCCAAAACAGATAAAAGAGAAGGGCTGAGATGTCAGCGTTCTGGCTTATAGGGATTGCCTTCCCTTGTAATCTGCTGCCATTTATTGTAATCCACATGACAACTAAATCAATGAACAGTCACTACAAAACCTTATCACTGCAGCTGAAAGTTTAAAAAGAAAAAGAATTCTCCTCCTTGCTTAAATCTGTTTCTGGTGCTTCCTCTCTTATAAACACTTGCATTACCCCAGATTTCCCCTTTATTTAGTCGTCTAATATAATTATCATCTAATCCACTTATTTACATGCTTATCCTGTGAATCATTTTTTGTTACAGTCGTATGAAAAATGCTCTATAAAAGAGCTCTGATAAATAGAAGGTTTCTTTTTTTAAAGTTTAGCTAATTCTTTGACAAATACATTGAAAAAAGTTGGACTTAAATGTTTAATGTATTACATATACTATCTATTCCATCATCTTTACTTTCCCGTGTTATCTTTTAAAAACAGATATTTTAAATAAGTTAACAGATAATTGAATTTAAATTGAAACAACACAATGGAGAAAACAGATACTACATGCTTTGCACACAAATTATTTTATTATAGCTTAAGACAAAAACTTAGCATATTTCACAGCAAAGTATAATTAAAGCTAAAAGATTCCTGAGAACAGATGGATATTTGCAATTTTGAATCTATGTGTGTTAAAAGATGTTACATTTCAAATCATCCTCAAACACTTTGATACTCATGTTTGCAGTAGCCCACATATAGAGGCTCAACTTGGATCCCACGTCTAAAGAGGAAGCAAGGCAGAAACAAGAGGATGTAATATGCAGGTTTTATAAAATTCACAACCATGACTTGCAATATTAATTGCTATAAAAGCTGAAGAGATGGTGAACTACCTCAGCAGCTTGCAGCGAAATTCCTGCAGTCGTGGAAACGCTCTGTCCACACTGGAGGTCTGCTTCTCGTTGCTCCACAGTCTCTCAGCAGCAGCACTTGCTCTTGGCCTGTTCATTTCAATGTTTTAAAACAGAGTTAAAGAAGCAAGCCAAGCAAGCAAAAAAAAAAATATTTTAACTTTAGGAGATGTTGGGTCTTAGATACCAAAGACGTGGGGAAAGGTTGGTTGCATCTACATATTCCCCCCACAAGCAAACCTCTCCTCCAATCACCAGCTGCTTCTGCTTTTCAGAACCTGTCCAGACACAAAAAGGCTAAATACATCATTAAGGTTAATGTACTGGTATCATATAAAGCTAAGCTTTAATGTCAAATAAAAACTGCATTAATCTTTTTATTATGCTATTTCAATTAGTTTATATTCGAAGGCCCTAAATCCAAACTAGAATGGACAGTAAAAATATAAATATTCAGTGTTTTATCTGTCAATATGGCTCCTTATGTTAATAGAATAACCCTCCATTGTCCCACTCTGAGGAAATTCAATGAGAGATTTTAGTGAGACAATAACAAAGTTAGTAACCTTTATTAAAAAAAAAAAAAACAGTATATTTAAATAAACATATGTGACCTGAACTATATATGTCAGGAATGATACCTGATTGGTAAAATGGGCAATTCAGGTCTAGAATTTAGGAGTTCAGATCCCATCATCATACCATAGGGTACAATGCAAGAATTTTCTTTACCATTACATTTTTAATATTTGTCACATTATAATCAAACTTTTTTTTAATGGGAGTGTATGTGATAGAAGGAAACAAAGGAGTGTATAGTGGTAAAGTGAAATTCAAATGTTTTTTTTATATTTTTTCTAAAGAACCCAATCATAAAAATCTTAACAAGTTTCCTACACATTTGTGTTGAACCCCTTTTACTATCAAACCCCTAAATTAAGTCCAGTCCAACCATTTGACTTTAGAAGTCAACTAAGTTGTTTTTAAGTCTCTGTTGAATGTAATCACAGTATGAATACAAGTGTTCTGCGAAGGTTTCAGAGATTTGTTAGAGAAAATCAGAGAACAAACAGAACCACGCAGCACAGAAGACAGGCCAGGGAGAAAGCTGATCTAGATCTTAAACTAGGGCTAGATCATAGAAAATAACCCAAGCATTGAAAATCTTATCCAGCATTGTTCAAGCTATTAACCAAAATTAAAAAGTAGAACATCAGGTGGTAGAACATGGCCATCCATCCAAATTAAGAGGGGGGGCAAGGGGATCATTAGATAGAGTAGCAGCCAAGAGGACCATGGTAGCTCTGGGTGAGCTGCAGAGGCTCTGGTAGAAATATCTATTGACTTATGCACTCCTGAAAAAACAGACTATTGGTGAGTGGCAAATAGATAGCCACTGGTAAAATAAAACCCAGTTATTAATAACCACCCAGAGGTAATGAATCAAATATAGGTAGGAGCTTGAGTTAAATTGAACAGATACTGCTGTCTTTGGTCCACATTGAAATAAAACATTTGTGAAACATCATCTGAACTCAACATCTCTGTGGTAAAACATAGCAGCAGCATCATGCCAAAAAGTGGCTGAACAGAAATGCATGTTTCACTTTTAACATTTATAGATGTTAAAACAACAAAGCATCTAAACCAAATGAAGAGAAAACATAGGTCTTCAAAGGAGTCATTAAAATCCCTCATACGTTTATATGTATATATTCTATGAACAATTGTAGGAAAAAAGGTACTTAACTCGGTTTTGCAAAAATAATACAGAAACAATAAAATTTTTAATTAGATTTATAATTATCCACTTTGAAAACTTAAAACTGCTGGATAGATCCCCACAGGTGAAAAGAGGACAAAGAAAACAACCATGCAGCCCCAAACTTTCCATTCTTCTTCTCTGAGTTTCACTTAAAAGTACTAAGAATCTCTGATCATCTTTTTATTGTTAAGAAAACAAAACAAAACACAGGAAAACCCCTAAAGACAAAGAAACTGCTGAAAGGCCTGAAAACCTAAAACCATCAGGCATCCCATCCAAGACCATGACATTTACCACAAAAACCTGAACAAATAAAGCTATGACATCACATTTTGGTGCCATTATGCAGATTCAGAAATCAATATCTGTTTGAATGTAGACAATGTGTCTTGTTTTTTTTTAAGGACAGTTCAGACTGATTGTGTAAAACTCCTTCCCTCATAACAGCAAACCCAACACATAAACAGATTACTGAAGTTAATTTATTCTTTATAACTGAGATTTGCTGCCATCTAGTGGTTTAAAACAAAACCGAACATAAAGTAGAGAAAATTGTTGTATTTAACAATGCTCAATTCACAGCAGACAAGATTCTTTCACTGACCCTTGAAGGCGAGAGGCCACACATTGTAGTAGCGGGCCCAGTTGTGTGTGGGTCCTGGCTGGTCCAGGTACCATGGAGAGGCCAGAATCACCCGCAGCCCTGCTTTAACAACCCTGCGTACTTCACAAAGGTAGCAACCCTGTTTCCACACTTCCACCACTGACAAAGACTTGCGCTGCAAATCAAAGAAATCCATCATTAGACATACATATATCACTTAGTGATATAATACCCATCACATCATCTACAGTGTATGCTTTAAGTCCTTAATCCATTTACATGAAAAAACCATGGCAATTGTTGTTTGAATCACATTATTGTAGACCAATTCAATTCTTTCTTCTTTTTTTTTTTTAGCAGAAAGGCATTCTATTTTTAATTATGTAAGAATTTTAATAATAGATTTAAACCATTCTGTTTCAAGGTTGAATGATCATACACGATTGTGCTGCACTGGTTTAATGTTATTCTTCTTATTCTTTGATACTCACAATCTGAAAATCATAAACTGACTCAGATATACACACAGCCCACAGTGAGCTTTTAATAAATGCTCTTTGAGTTTCATCTTTACCACAAACTTCAGGAAGCCCATAATAAGCCTAAGCTGTCACTTGAAATGGCAGAATTTAAATAAGTATTTGCTGGCATATACCTGAATTTTAAGCATAGTTGATACATTTCCGTTATAACTGAGAACAAAATCAATCCAGAAGCCAAAGATATGCTGCTTTCACTGCTTCAAGGCCAATTTTGACATCTGCAATAATTTTCTTGTCTTCTTGTCTTCTTCCTCTATCAATCGAATCACTGTGTGCAATACACAAGTTCCTATGCCAGCAAAACAGTCACACATAAGCATCATGCTGTCACTACCTTGCTTGACAGTTTTTAGTGTTGTTATTAAGTATAACAGTCTCACCTTGACTCATTTTTTTGTATAGTCATTGGGACCAAAATGCTCGATAAATAGACTCATCTAACCATGAAACCTTTAGTCAAAACATTTTTTTGATTTGACCATGCTTTCCTACAAACTTCATTTGTGTTCAGATGTGAAACTTTGTAGGAGGCTATTCTATCTTGACCATTAGGTCATTAGTCAAGTAAATCTTAAATCATTGCTATATCATTGCTATATCAACAGCAACAAGGGGTTTCAGTTAATGGAAATCTTCAAACCTGCCAGTAATCATGTTGTTCCATTACAATTTCTTGTATTTAGAAGTTGCTTCACATGGTTAGTGTGGAAAGGAATACAGTATGATCCCAAACTAACTTTCAAACTAGTCTTGAAATTGATAAAGCAGACAAAAAGTGTGCTTAACAACTGGTCTGACTGCAACCATACTGAAAGTTCATAGAGTGTTTTTATAAGTGGCAGTGGAGTCGGATGTAGGAGCTTGCCCTGAAATCGAAGGGATGATGGTTCCGGCTCCGGGTTTCAGTGTGATTGTGTCCTCGGGCAAGACACTTCACCTTCATCTTCTACTGATGGGGGTCAGTCAGAGGGCCAGGTGGCACCAGTGTTCAGCAGCCTCGCTTCTGTCAGTGAGCACCAGGGCAGCCGTGGCTACAATGTAATTTGCCACTATCAGTGTGTGTGTAAATGGTTGAATGAATGAATGTAGTGTAAAGTGCTTTGGTCAAGTCTCCTGATTTAAAAAAAGCGCTATATAAGTATAAGAACAGGCCATTTAAGCATTTTTTGAGCCAACCTACTACTTAAAATAGGCTTTATGCATCTTTAAAAAGTGGCCAAATGATGTGCCAGAATTATGCCAGATATTTTTAGGATAAAAAAAAGTGCATGTTTTCTCTGCCAAGGGTTGTAAATATATATTAGATACCAGACCAATTAGTTAATAAGTTATTTGTTGGTGTTTTCACTGGCTGATATTACGTCTGACTAACAATTTCCTGCAATAGGTCAGTTAGGATTGCTAGAAATAATGCTTCTAAGAAAATATGTTTAACCTAAGTACTTCGTAGAAATGCCTTTGAAACTTAATCAAATATTTTGGATATCAACCCATAAGCTTTGCAAACTGTAATCTGACTTTTTATATTTCTTTCAGTAATGAGTAATGACTTCATCTTTGCTGAGTGGCATACTAATACCTCTTCTCTCTGAATGTTATGTTGGGTTGACATTCCCATAGTGTTTATATTACCTGAGCTTTAGGTCTCTACAGTTGTCTGCGTGTGGTGGTTTTTTTAAATTATTTTATATTTAATCATGCAAGGAAGCAGTTTATGCTATATATTTTTTACCCTAAAATACATCCTTACTGAAGATGTATTTACTTGCTAAGGATGTATTTTAGGTCTAAAAGTAGATGCCTAAGAATTCCTTTCGGCCTTCCTCAGCTTAACTAAAATATCATAATTAACCTATAAGCAGCTTACAAAGCCATACATTGTTTTCTGTGATTTCTAAATTAGTTGTAAAGCATAATAATGTTAGGGCCTGGTCTACTATAGAAAACATTTGCAATATGGCCCCACAGAGCTCATCTACACACCAGGGGAACATGTTTGCATGTTTAAAATAAGCACAACCGCAGGTGTACAAATGTTGTCTTTGTCCTCATGAATATACAGGACAAATGTTTTGTATATTCATCATAAAAATACAAAATACTGGGAGGAGCACATTAAGCAAATGTATTTACTTAATAGTTTTTGTAAGATTTATTAAACCTGAAATAGTTTAACTTTGAGTGCAGCCTGTCATGCAAAAATGTCTGCAGACGTTTTTATAAGAAAGAAGCATAGCTACAATTAGAGAGGAAATAACAATATTAGAGACATACGGTCTATCCGTTAATGCCATTTTGGAGCTGCAAGGTCATGATTCCAATTTTTATAGTTGTTCTATTACCATTTACCTGTTGTTTAATGTTTTTTTTTTATGGTTGTTTTGTAGCAGTTTGAGATAATTAAATGAAAAGAAAATTATTAAGAAAAAAAGTAACAATAACCATTATTACCACCAATATAGTCTTCAAGCTTTCCCTGCTTTTACATCCATTCCACTCTCCCAAACAGCCAATAGCTCATGCTATATTCTCATTTAAATAAGGCATCCCCAACCTGTACGCGTTCCCAGTCTTAGTCGATCAGCTTCAAGATGCCTGCTAAATGTTTGTACTTTTTTTTTTTTTTTTTTTAGATCAGGTCCATAGTGTATGACAACATTGAAAAATATCACATAAATCTCATTAAACTTCTGTTCTTAAAAGAAATAATACATCTCCTGGTGCAAACTTACGCGTTCATGATAGTCAAAAACATCCTGCCACACAATAGATGTCTTCCTGAGGGCTAATGTGATGTTCAGAATCCTGTTGATGAAGGCAGTCATATTTATTACTCTATAATTAGGTTTTTCAAAGAGACCTTTATACAAATTCTCCCCTCTACCGCCTTACTTTTCAATGTAGAAGGCTTCAAGTTTAGAAAAGTCCAATCCAAAACCCATCTTCTGCATGAATGCACGAACATAAGGATTTGATCTCCTAAGAAAAACAAGCACACTCAGTCATAAATTTAAGCTTTTTTAAGACTTTTTCAGTTGAATATTAGGGTTCTTTGTTTTTATATGCAGTGGTTTGTTTTTATTTTCACACATACCAGCAGGAAAAGTCAACTTCATCCCCTCCTAAGTGGATATATGAGTCAGGAAACACTGTGGCCACTTCCTTAAAAAGTGCTGCCATAAACTGATAGGTGGAGGATAATGTTGGATTAACAGGTCCAAAAGCCCCAGAAGGATTGCCCCCTCTGTAGCAGGGAGTTAACAACTCAGGCTGACCTAATACATAAATAAAAAAGTAAATACATACATGTATATGTTTTATGAAATATACATATATTGATACGAAAATGAGACTAATGCTAAATCTTATAATAATAATAATAATAATAAATCTTAAAAGAATGGCATTTCAGCAGGTTTGAGGTATTTATTATGAGGTAATAATAAAATGTGAGTCTCTTAATATATAGAAAACTGTACCATAACATTCACACACAAAAAAAAAGGTACTCTGGTTCACAGAGGCATTTTTGTTAGATGTTACTAGTTTCCTTCAAAATTCTACCTTTTCCCCAAGATTTAGTGTGTCCTGGTGAATCAAACTCTGGAAGAACTCTTATTCCTCGCATCCTGGCATGTGAGATCACCCTTCTCACATCTGACTGTGTGTAGATGTGAGTCACTGGGTGGAAAGCACCCTGAATCAGAGCGAGACGTTTTGGTTATAGGGGGGAGGGAAGTTCCCAGCTCGTGGCTTAAGAGAGAGTGGGGTAAAAAAATAATAGGTCTGCCATAAAATGTAATCTAATAGCTTTCCTAATCCACATACCTTACTGGAAAGTTCTGGAAATGTGTGGCTTTGATAAGGGAAGGAGGGATCATCAACTATGTGCCAATGAAACACATTAAACTTGCTGTAGGCCATTGCATCCTAGAAAAAAAAAAGCTGAAGATATTAAGTACAAAAAAGCACAAAAAAACCCAAAGAGATCTTATGATCAAGTTATGTGAACTTTACCAGAGTTTTTAAAATGGCAGGCACCGGCAAATAGTGTCGTGAAGTATCCAGTAAAATTCCTCTGTACTTAAATTGTGGGAAATCCTCAATATAGGTCTTGTTAATATAATACTGAAAGAAAAAACAAATATTATAAATGTAATTATATTATGATAGATATTATATATAAACCTAAAAATTAGCATTAACTTTGACTTACTGAGCCAACGTCATCTTGATATACCAACTGACTGAAGGATTCTAGACCTGTGCTTAATCAGAATACATGCATGTCAACAACTCCTTTTTGAACAAGCATACATATTAGAAAGTATGTGTATATCTATTTTTTCTTTAATTCTTGAAAATATCCGAATTTGCAACATTTTGTATAACCTCACCTCTTCTAAATATGAAATCAAATGCTGTTATAAAACAAAAACATTTTGAGTAATTTACTGGATGACAACTTTATACCCTTATGTGAGTAAGTAATACATTTTTGAATACTTTAGCCACCTCTGCTTTAAAGTAAAATAAAGCTGTAGGTACAGGTTTTATCTAATAAAAGTTCACATTGATAACAATAGAAAGAATATGAGTATTTTCTGAGGGTATGTCCAGACCTTTTCTCTGTTCAATTAGTCTCCCCAGACCCAATTACAGGTAGCTGTAAATATTTAAAAAGTAAATAGAGAAAATGTGTGAAAATGGACATAGTGAAGTGAGAAGCCATTTTGTCTCTGATGTCAAAACAATGGACTTCCTAATTTTGCAGCCATTTAACCCACTGATGGGTGATGGCCTGTTAAAAGTTCATTTAGCAAGTCTAAATAACCCTTAGGTGTACATGTGTGTACTTTTGTTTGTTCTATATATTTCTATGTTGTTTGGTGATCGACCCACCAAGTAAAGTCATAGCCTATGTATTTCTAAGCCTATTATTAAATGACAAAAGTTGATCACAGTAAAAAAGCAAACCATATTATGTAAAAAACAAATATGAGAATGCAATAAACACATTACAGGTTAAGAATATTAAGCATGACACAATTTGTTTTGAACTATAGAAATAGTCAGGCTCTATGGTGCCTTTCACAGTTCCTGTGGAGCAAGATTGAGTGGTAAAATGTAAAAAAAAAAGATGATAGTATTATACTGCAATAGTATTTTTACTTTTGCAATCTTACTTGTTCAGCAAATCAGGCAATCCGTTTAACTTGATTTAAATAGCTTTAACACAATTTCCTACTCACAGCTGAGCCTCAACTGGCTTAGCAAGATAATCCAAATTGGGTTGTTTACCACCAAACAGTTGTTACCATGTAAGCAAGATAACAATCCTTTCTGACTTATTTTTATTATGTCAATTTCAGTAGGGCATTTTCAAATTCTTTGAAAATGTAGTGGCAATAATTACCTCTTAGAGCACCCCACACTGTTTCAGCGTTTAGAGATGCTCGCCCAGCAAAGACATTCAGTTTGTCTAAAACATAGATGAAAGGAAGTTGTTAGTGAGTGCTTTTACAATTCTAACATATTTCCATGCATTACATTGTGTAAAGTGTATTTTTATACTCACATCTCTCAGAAGAATCTTGATTTGGGTAACCCTCACAGTCATGATGATCAAGACTGATTGTGAGAGTAAATACCTCATTCTCAGTAAATTGTAGAGTATCATTTCCTGTCAAAAATGAATGTAAATATCAGGATTTTACCATCACAAGTTTTACATTGTATTTTATGACTGATATTTCAAATCTTTAACCATTTTTTAAATGTTTTAAGTATTGTATAATTAGACAACACACGAGAGTGAAGCGGCATTGTCCATTTTCATTGAATGTGTTGAAACTAAAAGGCTTTAGTTTGGCCTACAGTTGAACTGCTGTTTTTACAAAGCCCATTCATCCACATTGAAAGGCACAATGACAGACAGAGCACTCACAACAAAGCTAGCAAGTTTGCCAACAGTAATTCAGTTTTAAATTTGTTATGATATGAACATTTACTCTTAAATGTCATAATGAAACATAGAATTTACCAACAGTTGTCTGTTTATACAGTTGTGTAACTACATTTGTTAACTAAAATAGTCTAAACCAACTAATGTACTCACCAGAAGGGTAGTCTGGAAATAAAATGGAAAAGTATCTTTTGAATGCAGCATCCAGAACAGAACAGCTGTGTTGTTCAGTCAGTTGTCCTCTGTATCCAAAGCTGAAAGTTTGGGGTTTTAGTTGGTATCTCTCTGTTGAGGTGATACAAGTTTGTGGTAACGGCCACACACTCTGTACTTTGACTAAGCCAATCTGTTGTATTATAAATAGTAGGAAAGTATAGTTTAATAGAGTGTTGTATCCAGGATTTTCTGAGCACATGACTTTCATAATCGACATTTCGCCTTCCTGGCCAACTAAGCCAGTCAGGTGCATAGGTACATGTAGTCACATGAGGTAAACAACAGGCAGCCTACCACTATCTCCCCAATGATATACATAATAATAGTGGACCTACAACTACTAGGGCAGCCTCCAGAAGGTTTTCAAAGGGGAGGCCAGATGGGGGCCATCAGAACATAAAAGCCATAGAATAACAAGTTAGAAGTATGGCATAGTAATCATATGCATCCACACCCCACACATATATATCCTTCTTTCTCATAACAAAGTCTGCAGACATTTTTCATCAGTTTTATTTATTGCGCCAATGATCTGCATTGGATGGCGCACATGATGTGAAATAAATATTTATAAACTTAAAACCGAAGCCAAGAGTAACGAGTAACGTTTGTTTTAAAAATGTAAGGAATAGAAAGTACAGATACTTGTGTGAAAATGTAATGAGTAGAAGTCAGGAGTAGGAAGAAAAATAAGCAATGGAGTAAAGTATAGATACCTAAAAAGTGTACTTAAGTACAGTAACAAAGTATTTGTACTTCCTTACTTGACACCGCTGATTTTTATACATGCAAACTTTTAGCTGATAAGGCCCTAACACTATTATACCTTACAACTAATTTAGAAACCCTCAAAGCTTTGTAAGTTGCTTATAGGTTAATTATAATAATTTAGTTAACTTTAGGTATGCCTCAGGAATCATTTGGCATCTATTTTTAGGCCTAATATACATCCTTAGCAAGTAAATACCTCTTTAGTAAGGATGTATTTTAGGGGGGAAAAATTATAATAAACTGCTTGTATGATTAAATATAAAATTTTAATAATAACTAACATCACACGCAGACAACTGTAGATACCCAAAGGTAATATAAACACTATGGGAATGTCAAGCCAACATACCATTCAAGAGAAAAGAGGTATTAGTATGCCACTCAGCAAAGATGAAGTCATTACTCTGAAAGAAATATAAAAAGTCCGATTGCAGTTTGCAAAGCTTACGGGTTGATATCCAAAATATTTGATTAAGTTTCAAGTTTCAGAGGCATTTCTAAGAAGTAAATAGGTTGAAAATGATCTCAGAAGCATTTTTTCATCTTTTAATTTTGGTACAAAAAAATTAAAAATAAATAATAATAATAATAATAATAATAATAATAATAATAATAAATATTATATATATATGATAATATATAATAATTATACATATATTATTATATATATAATAATATATATGATAACATATTGTATATATATATATATATATATATATATACATATATTCATAAAGTAATCTTTGGTTCAGATAAAAATACTGCATATCTCTTCACATTTAATTTTCTAGTTTGTCTGACGTAAGGCCGTCGTCAGTTGGTGACGCTGCTCCTCTTTGTTGGCTTAGCAGCTGCGACGTTTTGTTGTCATTTTCGCTGCAGCTGAAAAACAGGCTCGGATAATTTTGGTTTTCGTATTGTTCCGCCATCAATATCTGGTGTTTTCAACCTCGAGGTGTACTCGTCGTAAGACGGTAAACACCCTAGGGATGGACTCAGACGAGGGCTATAACTATGAATACGACGACGAAGACGAATGTAGCGAGGACAGCGGCGAAGTGGAGCCCGACGACGACACCCTGGAGCTCGGGGATGTGGAGTTGGTTGATCCGGTGGTAGCCGGTGGGGAGCGAGATGAGGGCGGCGAAACTGGTGTAGGTGGCCACGGTCCTGGGGAGGAAGAGGAGGAGGACTACCGTTTCGAGGTTTTAACTGCCGAACAGATCCTCCAGCATATGGTGGAGTGTATCAGGGAGGTCAACGAGGTCATCCAGGTAGGTATTGTGGAGCACCATCGTCAGGAAAGACCGGGGTTCATGATTTTGTGAAGCATTAACAGGCCACGGACGATAGCCGTTAGCAGCTAGCCTTGTAGTGGTTAACTTAGTAAAAGGTAACAGATTCAGAAGATTAATACATGTTAAAAAATATTTTTTCAATTATTATAAGTTTCTGCTTCTTTTTACTATTTTTAGTTTGATGGAAAATTTTAATAAATGGCTTTAAATCTATAAATTAAAATAGAAGTTTGGTTACAGGAAGTAGTCTAATCCCCATTGAGAAGTTGGCAGCTACGATTGCTAAGCTAATGTTAGCCTACTTGCTACTTAGCCATCCTCTAAAGCCATGCTAGCTGAAGAAGCACATCGTTTTGAATTGCAGATTTAGTTAACATTAGGTGTGAGCTTCTTCGAGGCAAAGATTGAGATTAACTAATCAATTGAAATGTGACCCTTTTTTATGTAGTGCACATTAACTACCGCCATAGTATTTTGATGTTTGTCCAAGAGGTAGTTGGACATTGTGTAAGTTAGCAAGTTATCAGCTATATTTGTTAAATAATGGAGAACGAGCATTTCCAATGTGATTAAATGCTCATTAAATACCAGTATTTATCAAAGTTGTTTGTGAAACAACCGTCTCCAACCGTCTCGCATTAGCTTGGCAGTAGCACGGAGCCAACTGAGGCCTCCATTTCCTCTCTTAGGTTCATTTAAGTTTATAGAGGGAAAAATTATCTTAATTAATTAACCATTCAGTTTTCTATTACCGTAACCTGGCGTTTTAATTTGTGGTTCATAACATAGGTCACACGTAGCTTGACATATGTTAAAGGTGACAATGCATGCCTTCTTTCCATACAATACTGGCCCTTTTGACATTTTCATGCTGTAGAAATGTAAGTGCTTTCTTTTGGATAGTATTAATATTCAAACGTAATGATTCAAGTACTGACAATGTATTGCTTGGAATTATTAAAAATAGTTGGAACAAAATGTCGGAATAACTTGGCTAGACATACATAAAGAATATACACATGGAGAGGCCACCTGGAAAGGCTGCAAATTTCACACTTGTCACTGTAGGTCCTTAAACAAGACCATTAACCCTGGATTGCTCCCCATGTTCTACAAAGTGGGGCAGCACTTCACATCCCTTAGGGATGAGTTAACTCATCAGACAAATTTCCCCACTGTGGGGATATAAAGGGATCTTTCCTTTCCCTTCCGAATGACATCTTATCCTTTCCGGACATGGCTATTAAAAAGCTGTGGATTATTCATTACAATCTTTTTTTATGGGCTCAATATCATTTTCTGACAAAAAGATAACTATTCTTTGATACAGTTTCAGTTAATAACATTAAAGCAGTAATTTACATTATGTTACATACGATATTGTGCAGAATAACCTATGTTAATGTTATTTTTCTTATGAAATACAAATTCAAACCAAAACAAAGTCAGTGATGTTCATTGTTGTTCATTGCTGCTTTTCATATTTCTAGTTTTGCTCTGGTTCTGCATTTTTGTTTAAAGTCCTTGTAATATCAATCAGAGGTTATAAACTTTCACAGGAGTTAATTTTATCACCTAGTGGAAATGGATTTGACCGTGTTACAGAGGTTTTTAGACAAACATGTATATTTTATATTGTGACTATTGATCTACATGAGTCTTGTAAATGCTTATCTGCAAAACAAGATATACTAAGAGCTATGCAAAGTAGTTTAGTGGATGATATGGCAAATCTTAGATCACAATATGTTTCTTAATTTTAGTCGACAAAATATATTTTTTTGATAGTTGTATAAAAGATAAAGGACTCGGGAAGACTGCCATGTATGGCCACAGTAGAATCCTGTACAAACTTTGGACAATTATTTTACCATGTTTATAAAACTCATCCAGTATTACATCTTAGAAATATTTGTTTTAAAAACACATAAAACTACATAAAACCTGGAACCTCAGTCCGTTAATAAAATATGGTAATCATAGACTGTAATGCATCTTGAAATATCAGAAGTGCCATATCCTCATTATTTAATATGATTATATTGTGATGTATGTATTGTTTTTGAATTATTGTCCACCCCTTCTATAAAGGTATATAACGGCTTGTTTATATGTTTGGGTTAACAGGATGAAATGGCAATATGTGCGAACAGTTGCGCTAGGAATTGGTAAAGGGGAAATTTTAAACTACAGAATCAAACATTGGACATTTTCTTGTTTTTCATCAATTACTATATTATTTTCCTAGTCCTTTGCTGATTTCAAATAGCATTTAAGAACACGTGTATTTCACCAGTGAAGAAAATATTCCAAAATAAAGAATAAGTGAATAAAGAAATATTCATTTTATACTTAAATTTATGTAAAAAATTCCTGGGGAATGTAATATTTTTTACATTTTATTATAAATTTAAAGAAAAAAAAAAATAAAGCCTATTTTCAGAGGCTTTATACAGTTCGATTTACTCAAACAATTCATTCAGTTTCCTAAACTTATGTTAGTTTAGGAAAGTTTGAAGAGCCAGAGTGCTCTCATTGTACTGATTGATCAAATCAGAGGGCATTCCCATACCATGCTTTCATGTTAACAATTATCAGAAGATGAATTGCAAATATAAATAGCAGCCCAGTATGGCAATAGTTTTGAATAATGGAATTTCTCCTTTAATATAAAAGTACATAGTGGAAACTACATTTATTAGGATATCTGACATTTAACTATTTTAAAACCTGGAAATGTGGAGATGGAGAGAAAAGCAGTTCAACAGTAAAATGAGCAGACACTTTTTGCTGTTTGAAATTTTCTTTCTTGTTTTTTCAGAGACATCGCGTTTGATGAAATACAGCATCTATTTGAAAAATATTAATGACATACAGATTGTAGGTGATTCATAGAATGTCTCAGGCTGCTTAAGAATGTCCGCTCTAACCCCTAAATTCCTCAATAACTATATAAAGCAGGGACTATGTAGTGGACCCTATAGTGAAATCAGTTACCTGACCGTTCCAACAGATGATCACTACTTTCCGCCCCTTGTTGATCATGTAACTCCGCCTTCCCACACGGTGCATGAGCCCTTCTTTGTTATTTTTTGCCAGTCTTGCAAGGAGAGCTCTCCGAGGTATATCTGATCGTCTAATGACCATGGGTTCTCACTATTTTTCAAGGTGCATTGTGGGAAATATCGACTCCACTACATTTTGATCTACTCGATGTTTGAACACTCATTTAACATGTCCTAACCACTATATAGTGCCCTACACAGGGATTTGTGCGGACAATCGGACACGGCTTCAATCTTTAAGGTTTCCTACTGGATTAAGGTGATGCTCCCTAATCATACATTTTGGTCTGTTGAAGGGGAAAAAGGGCTTGTGGTTTTGTTTTTAGGGTTTTTAGAAGGTATTATATGGAAAATCTGAGAAATGCGAGAGCCACTGAGTAAATTAGCAGAAATCAACCTTGAACAAAGTTTTAGTTGTCCCTACGCGGCATACAGAGACAGGAGACCCATAATATATCTTCAGATCAACATAAAACTCAATCCCTGATAAATTACTGATCCCCACTCTCTAATTTGCATCCAAAAATGGTCACATTTGACAAGGCATCTAAAATTTGGATTGTAACAAATAATATTTTGATAAATATCAGGACAGAAAACTGCAGTGCTGAACAATTATAGTTTTTTTGTTGCCGCCGCAGCTGGCCCAGCTTTGACAACTTTAATGTTTATATGTTGTGATACTTTTGAGAGAAGTGTTTAATGTCTGCCATCTTCATCTTAGATGTTTTCAGATTAATGTGTGTGAAAGGCAACATTACAAGTGTCAGTATGTCAAATGATTACAGTATTAGTTTTGCTTCAACAGGATAGCTGTATTTGTGTCATCATGCTGGTAGAATATTCTGGTGAAAAATAATTTAGTTAATTTTTGGACAATGCTGCTAAATGTAAGTAATCTTTGTCTTGAGAAGTAATACCACACACTTGACTAAAGTAATGCCCTGTGATTTCCCTATTATGGGACAATAAAGGGATTTTCTATTATAATCAACAAAGCCCCACGTCTGTTATAACTAGTAGTTTATACTGAGTGTCAAGAAACAACTAATGGTTAATGTTGCATTAGTTGCACTGGTTCTAGTCTAAAAAGTATTGTTTATATAAACAATATGATGGAAATTCTCTAAATGTGTTCGAACTGCTGACTGCCCAAGGTGGTGTTCTTCACAGTTTGGAGTTGTGTTTTTATCAGCACATATTTTTTAAAGACACTTAAGATAAACAACATTAGTACTGTTTATCTTTAATATTGCGAAATCGAATCCCTGCAAATGTTTTTTGGCCTTTTTTTTAATGAAGCTTGCTTTATTATAAACATTTTGATTAACAGAAAAACCTAAATGTAAAAACACTTTTTTTCTCTCCTTTAGAATCCTGCAACAATAACGCGCATTCTTCTCAGCCACTTCAACTGGGATAAAGAAAAGCTTATGGAAAGGTAGGAATCTGTGATTTACTCTGACCATTTGCTGCTGTGGTGTTACTTGGTGCCAAGAAATAAAGAATGACAGAGGCACTCCTTGAACATGAATGTTTACATGTTTTGTAACTCTGTCTTTTGTTTGAATATCACAGATACTTTGATGGTAATCTGGACAAGCTTTTCTCGGAGTGTCATGTGATCAACCCCAGCAAGAAGCCTCGGATCCGTGCTCCAATGAACACTAGATCAGCGGCACAAGACATGCCTTGTCAGATCTGCTACCTAAATTTCCCCAACTCGGTGAGTTGCATAGCTGAATCAGCACTGTGCTGAATTCCACCTTTTTAGATGTGGAATATTTTGAGTGAAGTATTAAATAATATTTCCTAACCTAATATTTTTTTTTGATTAAGATGCATTTATCTTGCTTTATTTTTTTAGAATCACCATATAAAAGATTAGAAGCATTTGTTGGATAAAATAAATACATCCAAAAAAATATCCGAACTTTGTTCCAGTAACAGTTAAAACAAAATGGTAGAAAGCCATTTTATTATTCAAATACACTTTGTTTGGTTGTAAGGCAGGCAATTGTTCACGATTTGAAAGCATTTGTTGATTTTGAAATTATTTTGTTTCTAACACATTTATGCAAATATGAAGCAGTTTATTTTCAATGTCGGTTGATGTACTTCAAAATCCTAGTATTAGGTGCTTGTTTTATTTTAAATTGCGGACAAAACCAAGTATGTCAGAAAGGTACCGTGTTTTATATTGATAAATTAAGAGGACCTGTATCTAAATCACTACAGACAAATATAACAGAGACAAGATTAGGTATTTGTACAAAGGTGATTTTAGGCTGTCCATCCAAACGAGTCTGTCTTTTTGGGTGACCATCAATTTTAGAAACCAGATCTCAGAGCGGAAAACTTTGAAATGATCAGTTTGATGTTTCAGTGCGTACATCCGTTTTCCAAAAGGCAGATTAGACTTCTGCAACCGCACACATCAAATGTCGCTTGGGTCTGGTCGCACACCAGTTTTGCTGCTTCTGCACCGTTGGTCTGGAATTTCTAGGGACGCACAGCAGTTTCCCGCCTAAGCGCAAGAGGGAAACTATTCGAGAAATCGCGAATGTCTGAGGCATCATACAAGTGGTTGTACTTCCGAACCTCGACAATTAACCTTTTGTCGTAGTTGTCCATTATAGTTGTTCCTCGGTTATTTAAAAATGGTGCGTCCCGGCACCGAATTGAGAAGGATGACCACACAGACAGCCTGAAAGGTGTACCAAGGACCAATCACAACTGCTTTTTGTCTGCGCACTTCTGCTTGAGGTCTGTGTGGGTTTGCGACCGTCCGACGCATAGTCAGGATTTTTTTTATGTGTGCGACGACGGTTGCAGAACCTCTGCTGGGGTGCGTGGTCGCGCACAGAGGCAGATTTTACGGTTGCAGAGGTTATGCGTCACAAGCATAAATTGGCCTTAACAGTTACGTCATAGCTTTAGCCCTTTTTGTAACACATGTCTGTTTGTCGTCATTTTGTTGTGTTTGCCTCGCATGAGATGTCTGCACATGCGTAGTGGTTTGTCAGTGATTTTGTGGGAGTGACTAATGGCCTCTAAAGGGCCAAGCATATGTACAGTTGGGTCATTATTGGTGCTGTGTACACCTGTGTGGGCACATCGTTTTTCCAAGCCTTTTATGAAAATGTACCATGTTTGGTTTTGTGTGGACTTGGCCTTAATTAGCTATAAGCACCATGTCTGTAAACCAGCCAAATGGCTTCCTCTACCCAAGCAGTTTGCTTCACTAATAACCTGCAAAATCAGCTTGAAAAACTGTGGTTATCTCTAAAAAGCAAAAATGAGTGGTATTCCGGTCAAGTGGAAAGTTTTAAGTAAGATGGCTACTGTATTTAATCAGTGTTTATGAACCAGCTACTCAACTAAGGACAATCTTAAGCTTCTGTTTCATCTGAGAAGATGAGAGGAAACCAAGCCTAAGATTTATTTAACTCTAAATCCTCCAAAGAACATCTGCTCCAGCACTAAAGTCTACCACAAACTTTAAAGTAGCATTATGACCAATCCAACTGTAATAATGTTGTTTATAAATTTATTATCCCAAATAAGAGCTGGAAATATGTTTTGTTTTAATGTGAATACTTGAATTGGTCAAGAAATGGGTGCATTTTCTAAATCAATACTAGTCATCCTTACACCAATTTGTCAGTGGAGGTGATGTTCTCTAATTTAAAACAGTAAAAAGAAAAATCTTAAGATTTAGGGAGGATTCTGACATAATGCATAATTTCTTCTCATTGCTAGCCCTTCTTTGTAGTGGAATACATGAAAAACTTTGTTCCTGTGTTTGAGTATATGCACAGGTACCAAAATATGAAAACATTTAGTTTGTCAGAGATATGAACTGCCAGGTTCCTCATACAAGCGACTGAAAGGAGTTTACTCCATAGTGTGTCTGGGCTCTCCCTTAGAGATAGGGGGAGGAGTTCAGTCATCTGGGGAGGACTCGGAGTAGAGCTGCTGCTCCTCCACATTAAGAGGAGCCAGTTGCAGTGGCTCGGGCATCTGATTAGGATGCATCCTGGACTTCTCCCTGGTGAGGTTTTCCTGGCATGTCCCACTGGGGGGAAGCCCAGGGGGAGATCCAGGGCACGCTGAAGGCACTATGTTTCTCGGCTGGCCTGGGAGCACCTTGGGATTTTCCCCAGAGGAGCTGGCCCAAGAGGTTGGGCCTCCCTACTGAAGCTGCTACCCCCGCGACCCGACCCCGGCTAAGTGGAAGAAGATGGATGGATGGATGGATGGATAACATGAACTGACTGTCCTAATAATGTTAACGGAACCTCTGAAACCCTAAAAGGCAATGAATATATTTAGGATTTCACTCCTATTTACCTCAGTGTGGTTTGCTAGCTTAATAAAGGAGTAAATACAAATGAGAATTTTTTCTGCCAAAGCCAAGCTTTTATGGAAATTGAATCAATATTAAGTGCTAGTAGTGTGAGTTACAAACAACCTTTTTCTTAAAAAGATTCATTTTGTCATTTGTTTTAAGATGTTAACAAATAATTTCCACTTCCACTCCGTTTTGATCTAAATTATTATAAATGTTATTTATTTTGGCATAACTTTACATTTTTAAGAACAGTTTTTTTCTGAACAGTTTGCCTCTTGTTAATGACTTAAGCTTGATTTATGCTGAAATCTTTCACGGGGTTTGCGCGGCCATATTACATAATTTTGGGCCCCATACCCCTCCGCGTGGAATCTGTGCGGACAGAATTTCCACCTGGAGCACCTAGGAAAACTTGTAACTACGCGGACAGAGCCATACAGAAAACCGTACAGCAGGAGCTTGCGCTGGCAAGGGTTCGTAAATGTAATCATCTACAGATGTCCCATGATTTTGCTCTTAAATATCACCACTATCAACACATTGAGGGGAAAAAACTTCAGGAAATAAATGACTGTCCCTCTCAAATAGCATGATGAGGCTTTGGTAAAGTTGTATACGGCTGTGTTTTGTACTTCCTCGTGTAGTGTGGTGGTGTCAGCTTGCATCTTGTGAAAAAGCATAGTATAAATGCTGCAGACGCGTTGACGGGCGGGCGGCTCATTTTTCTCACAAAATTTCAAGCATAATGAGCCTCTCAGGCCACTCTCATATAGAAGGCATATGCGGTCATATCAGACATAATACAATTTGATTGTATTTAAAATATAATCCCAATTTTAGAGAACAAAATTTTCAAACTGCGGATGCATTCAATTTTGTCAAGTTACATTTAAGATGAGTAAGGCACTAACTTTCTCACTCACTCCAGCCCTTGTAGCGGGCGCTAAGTTAAGGGAAGAGAGTAGCAGCTAGCACACAGATTCATGTCAATAAGTAAGACCATTTCTACTCAGCAGTACCAGTAAAATCCTGCAATAATTCACTCTAAATAAGCAAGCTTTCAAGGTCATGAAAATAATGAAAGCCCAGTGTAAAACCTCTTCATGCTTTTGGTTAGCCCAAAGAAGAATCAAAATATAATTTCAATCACAATTTAGGCTACAAAAAAAGCACAATTTTGATATATTTTTTGGAAAACCATTCAGCTCTAAGTAGCAGAAACTGCTATAATAAAGGCTGTTGTTCATTGTTGGATGCTAATTTTCCTCTTCTTTCATATCACTATGATGTGGTCATGATAATGATAAAGTTCTGTTTGCCCAAAAGTCCAGTAAAGGCACAGACACTGGCACCTTATGTATTTTAAATGGTTTGTGGCTTTATTGACAGTTAGCTGCTGTGTGGTACCTACATTCTTCTGCACACATTGCTCCCTTAGATTTCTTGAACAGTTTAGGCAGAAGTCTGATGGCAGATACATTTATGTGCAAGTGAAGCAGAAATAGAAAAATTAAAAAAGATTGCAGCAAAAAAATCAGAACCGAGCATCAAGAGTTGCTGTGTGAAGGTAGCCTAATGTTACATGTTTTAACTGTTGAATTTCTTTTATTTTTTTTCTCAGTACTTTACAGGCCTGGAGTGTGGACACAAGTTCTGCATGCAGTGCTGGGGGGATTATTTGACTACCAAAATCATAGAAGAAGGAATGGGACAGGTACCATTTTAAAATGCATTTTTTGAGATTGACTGATCAAGCCTTTCTTATCAGAGATTAGTATACCAATTTCTTTAGCTAATACTACTTTCTCTTTTTTGATTAGAGATGCTGAATTTAATTATTACATTTTTAGTACAGTTGAGCAGAAATAAAAGAACATTGATTTTACCACAGTTTCTTTGATGGATATACTTAAAAGAAAATAAAATACTTTCAAGATGCCCTGTTTTTATGCAACTAATTTTATTTTTGTTGATTTTTTAATGTTTTATGCATCAAGGATGCATATTTAAAGACTGTTTAATAGAATTAAAGTATCTCTACTCTGTTAGATAAAACAATACATCTAATAAAGTTGATATCGCCTTTGATCGTTAAAATGATCTTTATGGTTTTTGATGCCTACTAATGATTTTCCTCCTATGCTTCCTTCTCAGACCATTTCTTGTCCTGCTCATAGTTGTGACATTTTGGTTGATGACAACACAGTCATGTGAGTACATTGGTCATTTTAATTATTGATTTTTATTCAGTAGTGGTCATTACATGTAGCTTATGACTTCATGATGTAGCTAATAAACTACATCACTACAGACTTAATAGTTTGATGTACTTGATGTTTCCTAAGTAAAATTAATATCAATTTTAAAATCAGGCAAAGTAGCTGGTAATATTAAAATATGACATTGTGTGCAAAGTTTTGCCTTTTTATTGAAGTTGTAGATAGATTTTCTTTAGAACATTATGATTAGAGAAATTATAATCCACAGCTCTTTGTGTTAGCTTTTTATTTAACAAGTGTTAATGTTTCCTAAGCAATAGAATAAGCCTAAAATAAATCTGATGTAATAGGAAATAGTAACTGGCACAAAAGTATTTGATAATTGTCTTGCACCTTTGCACTAGTTCTGAAATGACAAAATCAAACTCTGATTTTGACATGTCTGTGGGTGCAGACAGATCTTTACAGCACTATAAGGAACTGTCATTGTGTTTATGCACATCTCTGTTTACTGTGGATCAGGGAGAGGTCTCAAATTGCCACCCCAATTTGAGGACAATCATAAGGATGTTTGTCAAAAGATAAAATCATATCTAGCCTGTTCTTCAAGCCTCTTCTAAACAGAATCTTTCCTCTGTGTTTTTTTGCTTTCCCCCTTTTGCTTATTTTGTCTTTGTCTGATGAAATCATTTCTATTCAATTTCAAGTGGTTCACTCAGCACTTGCAATTTTTTAGTCTACCTTAAATATAAACCTTCCAGCATTATAAGTATCAAAAGATGCATATAAGCATATAAGCACATGAATGAAACTTCTTCATACATCTTCCTCCAGTAACTCTATGTTCGCTTTATTTTGATTTCTGTAAACATATGCTGTGTCCGAATGTCCGCCCTACCCTCTATGCAGAGTGGGAACTGTATAGTGGACTTTATATTGCACTTGGTTAACTGACCTTTTGGACAGACGATCACTACTTTTTGCTCTGGCACGGATATAGTCTTATGATTGTGTCCATCTTTTATCTGTTTCCATGTATTTAAATTTTTCTTTTTTATTAATAAGGATCACTGAAGTTTGATAAAGCCACTGTGTTGGCTCTTATGCCGTCTTTGATTTTATGACGAGTTTTTTGGACTTTCCTTGAAAAGAATCCAGCAGTGTTTCACTACTAGTGAGCAGCCAAGCATGCTAATGTGTCCAAATATTTCACAGTTTAAATCATAATTTGCTAATAAACTTTGCAACCACTTCTTCAAAAATATATATGTGTGTATGTTGGTGTATTCAATGTACAACCTTTCTTTATTTTTTTAAATGTAAAATATTTTATTATTCTATGTTTCCGCAGGCGCCTCATAACAGATTCAAAAGTCAAGTTGAAGTACCAGCATTTAATCACAAATAGTTTTGTAGAGGTAAGCTTTGTTGTTTGATATAAAATGGAAAGAATGTTTTTGACAGGAAAAAATAAAATGACTAAAAAGAAGAGAAAAATTAAAGGAAATGAAGAAGGGGGAAAAATTAAAATCAAAAAGCATCAACAACACAATTAGACCCTCTTGAATCTTGTTCACGTGAAGAATATCTGCCACATGTAGTGCAACAAGTGATAACAAGCAGTGAGCCTACGTTGATATTGAAGGATTTGGTTAGCCTAAAAATACCAGGAGTTGATTAATGCAAACAAATGCATAATGTATTATATTTGTTAGTCATTATTGTTTGAAACTGTGGATTTGTATGTCCTCTAGCATTTACCTTTCCCTTAGTTTAAAAGCTTCATAACTTCTTTTTGAATCTCTTTTTTTTTTTCCCTCTCAAATGTATTCTGAATAGCCTTTATACTAAATAACCACATCACTACGTTTGTACCAAGCTTTATGCAACTTGACTCAGATTTTATCCTTTGTAGCGTGATTTGGCTAAAGTTTAAAGTAATCGTTTAAGTTACTATTTATAAGACAAACTTAAAAAAAATCTTATTCTAACTTCTCTTTAAAGTGCAATCGACTGTTAAAGTGGTGCCCTGCACCGGACTGCCATCATGTTGTCAAAGTCCAATATCCAGATGCCAAGCCAGTGAGATGCAAGTGTGGCCGCCAGTTCTGGTTGGTACACTGTCACAGATTTGCCGCTTGTTATGTTTTTAAAATTATGGTTGATAGACGTGTTGTTTTCGCAGTTTCAACTGTGGAGAGAACTGGCATGACCCTGTGAAGTGTAAGGTATGGTGAATGACAATGCAACAATAAATTCATAAAAGATTATCTTGTGCAAGATTCCAGCACTTAATCAAAACTGCATTTTCTTATTTGTGCTTTTATATGTTTAATTTTCAGTGGCTGAGAAAATGGATTAAGAAATGCGATGATGACAGTGAAACCTCCAACTGGATTGCAGCAAACACCAAGGTATACAGCCAGTAAGAAGTACTTTTCTGATTAAATGCCTGTTCTCCAGCCGAACTACAACACAATGCTCACCTTACCTTTACAGGAGTGCCCCAAATGCCATGTGACCATTGAGAAGGACGGCGGCTGCAACCACATGGTTTGCCGCAATCAGAACTGCAAAGCTGAGTTCTGTTGGGTCTGCTTGGGCCCATGGGAACCTCACGGCTCTGCCTGGTAAGAACTTAAGTCATCGTTTTGTACATTATTAAATATGCATAATATGTTTGTTTAAATGTGATTCCTGGTATAACAATGGAAAATTCATAAATCAGAAAGTTTCCATTCTCTAAAGGCTGATTTATACTTCGAAACTAAGTCATCTGCATAGGTGTCGCAGTGAACAAAAAGACGTCCCCGCCCCCTCCGCAGACATGCTGCTGCACCTCTCCCAAATTGTAGGTGACCTTAGACAGGAGGCTGGCCTGTTTTGTTTTTATGACTGAAATTGTGGAAAACGACTCGTGAAGATGGACCAGCTAGAAGATCGAGGCACGCGAGAACCCCGGGACCCTTTTTCCAGCTGGATCCCCGCTATGTCCCTTCATGTCCCTCCGTTGTCGGACAAAACTTGCCCCCACTTCCTCTCCGCCTCGGCCGTATCTAGACTTACAGTGCAGACCACGCTCTAAATTGAGCATAGATCAAAAATGTCTGCGTCAAGCTCACTGCGATACACTGCTGCGGGGAGTATAACCAGCCCTTAGCCCCATATGAAACAACAGTTTAGCCCATTTGATCATGTCATAATGCAAGGAGTGCAGACACTGGACTACCCTCCATTTGAGTTAATTTAAAACTTTGATAGAAATATCCAGGTAAATATCCTGTAACTACTGATGCTTTCAGGTACAACTGCAACCGCTACAATGAAGATGACGCCAAGGCAGCCAGGGATGCCCAAGAGGTAACAAAGTCCACATTTCCCTCAATCATTTTAATGCTGTTTTTGATACAGTAGGGATGCAAATTTATAAATAAATCTAAAATTGACTGATATTATCGATCAAACTAACGATTCATAAGCAGCCATGTGCTTAAGTACCGGAGTTTGCTGAAGATATTTTCATAGCATGAAGGGATAAATAGATATTTATTACAATATGCCAAGTTAAAAAAGTGATACATAATTATATTTTTAGCTAAACTGATAAAATAAACAAAATCTTATACATTATTAAATGGGAACCAATTGAGTTACTAAAAAAAAAAAGATCAATGATTTACACTAATAAAAGATATTAGTGCAAAATACTAATATTTTTCATTGTATAGAGATGTGAAGCTATGTGAAGGACAGAAATGTCACTCTGGTATGCTTCGTTTCAATAAAGTGGATGGTAACGATCAGCGGTGGGAGAGCGAGCCGTTAGTGGTGCTTTTAAACAGGGGCTTCAGGTTACTCTCAGAGGAATGTTAAAGCTTGGCTCTATGAAAGGCATTAACACACAAAGGCACTCTAGCCTGATTATTGTTAACATGTCTTTTTCTATCATGTCTTGCAATGCTTTGTGTAATGCTCTCCACTTTTCTCATCTTCCTCATCTTTTGCTGCTCCACCTTGCAGCACGGCTAAATATATTGGTGATAACTTAAAAAGCTTATCAAGTGTTTTATATTTCTAAATAGAGTGACATCAAATGCATTCTGCATCCTTGTCGCCTTGAAGTTTAAAAAGTCCCTGACCAAACTTGACCCCTTGATCAATTCAAGTTTCTGTTCAAGCATGCCCCTCTACTCCATTGATCTCTATTTATTCACTGGATTGCTGACAGCCCGGTGGTAGTACGTGGTGGAGTGAAGCCACAGCCCGCCATATTGGTACTCCCTAGTTAGACCGGTCACAATGCAAACAATACGTGCGCTACAGCATCGAACAACGATGATATCATTTTCAGGGGCACTTAAGACTTTTAAAATAAAGATAAATTCATCACTTGGACGCACACTGGCTGCTTCATAGCATAAGTAGATTACTGTAACTAAGAAGTCTATAAATCATATAATATAACATTATACAAATCCATCACAATAAAATTTATGTTTATGGAGCACAATAATACAGATGTGCCAAAAGTGTTACATTGATGTATGTGTAATATACATGTATTGTTGAAATTGTTGTGGTAATTAATTTTTACATTTAATTTCAAGATTTCACATCAAGACTGAATTACAAGTACACGTCTGTTAATGCTATAGTATTTTCCCATTTTCAAGTTGTGCATGCATGATGCCATATACTTTTATGCTGTGTCTGCATTAGCCTTTAAAAATGTTTGATTTGCGTTTTTTCCGTCAATATAACATGCAATATATTACAGCACAACTTTTCAAATGAGAAATGCAACAGATACTACAAAAAAGACAGGTCAATCACATAAAGAATTACTATATTGACTTTTCACAGTGAATTATTTATATTTACTCTGCTTTCTGTTTTCTATTAGACACAATATCGATGGTTAACTCAGTCAATATCTTCGAGTCAGTCTGAGATAGCCAGACTAATGTTACGCTACATACTATACTATAGGATACATCAGCGTATATATGGCTTTCCACGGACTGTGAAATTGCCTGTGAAACGTCTTCCCTCAGCCGGCAAACTGCTTGGTTTTGCATGCACATTAGATGCCGCATCTTCAGGGGAGTGAGGAATACCAATATGGCGGCCAGTGGGTTCACATTTTTCTGGACTATCAGCAATCCAGTGAATAGAGATTAGTGCTCTACTCAGGCATTACTTCTCTTGCAAATACCAGTAAGGCTCTGCTTATGAATCAGCAGTGGCTCCCTATATTGGATGATGGCAACACTGAAATTCCCTCTAAAGCTTGTTTTATACTTGGAGCATGTGTGCTCATAGCTTTTATACTCCTTGCAGCTTTTCCAAAACACACACAAAAAAAAAAATAATTTTAAAAACCACATTGAATAAGGAAGTAGAAATAACTTTTCTCTGCTTTTCCAAAGCCTCTTCATGTCATCAAACAGTGACAGTAATTTTATCCTAAGAGTTTTTCACAATCTGTTGATGATGGTGCTATTTATGGACTCAATCACAAGATCTTTCTCGAGGTTTATATTTGTGAACTTTTAACGATGGAGCTGTCACACTTCCAGGTCTTTCCACACAGCTTACTAAATGTTTCAGTTTCTGAGAATGTTTTTATAAGCTCCTTCCTTCCTTCCTTCCTTCCTTCCTTCCTTCCTTCCTTCCTTCCTTCCTTCCTTCCTT